TTAAATTGTTGTGAGGGACAGGATTGACCATTCTGGGGTCAGCAAACTTTTGGACAGAATGTACCCAAAGAGCCGCATGTGGCTCGCAAGCCGCGGTTTGCGGACCTCTGGGCTAGGGGAAGTCCTTTTCCTCCAGGGTCTCTCAGCCTCAGCACTGCTGACATTTCTTTGCTGTGGACACAGCCTGAGTACCTGGGCTTGTGACAGCATCTCCAGCCCCACCCTCCAGATACTGAGACCATTTCCCCAACCCCCACCCACGGTGAAAACCAAGTGTCCCCCAAGGGGGTGGCCTAGATGGTGGTGGGCTTTGGCAACCCCAATAAGAACAGCCTGGCTTTGTAGCCCATGCACCAACATAATCTTATCAAGGCATTTTTTTTTTTTAATGCTGGTTGTTACGGTAATGTGCTTGGCAAAGTGAGACTTAAGGATTCCTCAAGGTAATTGCATCCATTAGTTAGTTTTCAGGTCGTCATTTTGAACCGAGAGAACCCTGTCCTGCATGGTTTAGCTTAGAGCTTTGCTTGATGCTGCAAGAGACTTTAGAGACCAATCTCATCTTTCCACGTGTGGCGCTGAGACGTTAACCAACGCTTGCAAAGTCACAAAGCGAATAGCAGCCAAGCCCTGGCAAAAAGGTGTGTCAAGACCCCAGTTCAGAGCCCTTCGCCACATTCCGAGAATCTTAGATTCAGGCCAGACGCACCTTGTTCTGTGGTTCAAAATAAGCTTTTCAGAAAAAGAAACAGGCACAATGAATATTCATAGAGGCAAGAATGAGTCCATGAAGACACATTTTTCTGACAAATATACTTTTCTTTGTAAGAAGCTTTAATTCTGCCACAGTCGTTACAGAAGATCCATGATACAGTTGCTAAGGCACGGAAAGGCAGATTTTATTCAGCGAGCTGTGGAGATTAGGGGGAGGGACCAGGCAGTGGGGGTGGTCAGTGGGGACCCAGCACAGGAAGGACACACGTGACTCCCCAGCGGCTGTGCTGAAGGGTGGGGTGATGGCAGATTACTAGGAAATGTCAAGTTCAAGGGCACTCTTGCTGGACCAACTCAGCAGGATTCTTGTGGAAGGCAGGCCCAGGGTAATAACATGGACGTTGGGGGGAGGGATTTGATCAGATACCCAGGGCAGGGGACTGACCTTTGCAAGGACAGGGCCCAGGCTCAGCCTGGACGGCTCAGAGGAGCTGACTATATAGTAGGAACTAGAGCTGGGACAGAGTCTCTGTCACAGCTGGGTGAGAGCCTGACCGCCCTGAACTGCAGTGTTCCAGAGTCACCTTGTTTGGGACCCACTGTCCGCTGTGGGAACTTGTTCCCCGTGGTTTAGCCTGCTGTCTGCAGACTGTGTCAGGAGTTCCATTCCGAGGGAACGACACTCTCTGCCCAGTGACACTCATTGAAAACGGGAAACCCTCTCTGCTCTCTGCAGGTGGCTTCGCTCTTAGAAAGAAAGGGCAGGAAGGAGAAATCTAACCGCCTCTCTGCTAATGTCCTTTAAAAATCTGTCTACTTCTCAATTAAACAAACAATGAACATGCATTACTTATACGATTGGAAAAAAGATAACATTAGAAGTGTCCCTGGCCGCCTTCTCTAAAGAGTCCACTTCCTCGTCTTCCCCGAGACCCTGTGGGCAGCCTAAGCTCACTTCTTCTGCAGGCAGGCGGGTCACTGGCCTGGCCGGCGCTGAGCCCTTCCCACACTGACCTTGGCTCCTGGTCTTATGAGATGTGGGTAAGGGTGCCGGAAAGCGTGGTGACAAACCTGAGGTGTGCACGGGGCCATCAGGCCACTCACGGAAGGCGCTGACCCTGGTGCCTGACACCCAGAGCTGGTTGCCAGTTGTGGCCTCTGGAGGAGGGAGCAGGTGACAGAGCAGTGACTACAAGGGTGGGAGAGGCGAGTGGGACAAGGGAAGGCGAGCAGGAACCAGGCTGCATTTTTTCATTCAGTTTTCTAAGACACTCATCACCAGCTGCACCTGTAATTTAAAAACAGCAGTTGCTTTTGTTACTATGCTTTAAAGATGGCAGAGGGGAAAGACACATGCTGGGAACGGAGGCCTGTCTGACAGCCAGCTGTTCCTCATCTATAAGGCGGGCCGCTGCACCCACTGACATGGGAGAATGCGAGGAGGCGCTGGGAGGGCTGCCAGCACAGAGGCCAGCACACAGCAGGCACTCAGGGCTCAGGGCATAACCTCAGCCCAAGTGACACAGCAGAAACACAGGTCACAGTGAAGGAATGTAACCGCTCTTCCTACCATGCTGAGGACATGTAACAACTTTATACTTACCTTCCAAGGCCGCTCAGAATTTAACCGTCTGGTCTACCCCCACAGTATCCTAAGTCACAGACGAGGTGGTTCTCTTCTCCATGTGACGAGAACCACGGGTCTCAGGGTCTGTCATATTTTTAACTCAATTCGCTAAAACCCTTGAGCACCCAGGGGTGGCCAGGCAGGTCACGTTAGTTGAGATGCTTCTCACACGTGGCCTCATTGGCTCTTTCATCACACATTCATGCCAGGTACCTTCCTAAGTGCGGGGGTCAAAAACAACAAAACTGAGCTACACTCACGCAGCTTACATTTTAGTCAG